TATGCAAGGGAAACCTTTGCCTTCGGGTGTAATCAAGGTACTTACGTTTATACCCAACTATCCACTTATCAGTATCTTATGTTTTATGAAGTCTAATTTTATAATGTGAGATGTTTTTACGTACTCACTATTTTTGGCATGTAGTTTGACTATTTGCATAGGGCTCGCTTGTTACTTGATCTTGTGATATACAAGCATAATTCAGCTGATATTGTTGCTGATATCGCGCAATATAAAGCTGGTGATGCTCTATTCTTTTTTATTTTTCATAAGTTCGTACAATCAATGACGTTATCGCATTTCTTAAACTCGTGAACTTTGAGTTTATAACTCAACCTTTGTTATAAAATTATATTCTAAAGTGTGCTATCTTGCGCAGAACTCAGAGCTAGGGGTGAATTGAAATGGAAGTAGAGGCTATACGACTTTTGTGATCCTGAAAGAAGAAAAGATAGTGGATAAGGTTGTGGGAGCGAACAAAGACGACTTTGATTTTAATTGATGTATTTAAAATTTGAACATGAATTGTTTCTATTCTTGGGTATGCAATGCATTGTTTTTTTTATTTTTAATTTGAACATGAATTTTGCTTTCAAGCTTTAGTTTATTTATTAATTTAATATACATCAATTATTAGTTCTTAATAATCGTTTATGACAGGTCTATCAACCTACTTCATTATTTGGATGATATTTTGCAATTATTACGTCGCTGACTTTTTATTGGAGGCAAAAAATTGTGATTGATTAATTAAGGTTTTTTTTTTTTTATTCCAAAAATATTCTATGTAAAGTGGACAAAAGTTGGTGTTGATGCTTGAACCTCCTTGCAATCACTTTCCAGATTGAGCCCAGTAAGATGAAGAAACTTGTGTTTAGTCCATCCATTTTTGTCCAAGAACAAGAAAAGGTATAATTTACTTTAATGTGACATTGATGTGTCAAAGACTATGCTATAAACAAAAATAGTGAGAGTGGTTGATTTTGACCATAATTTCAATTGGACAGATTTTGACCATAAATTTATAATTTTATTTTAATTTGATCCAATTAATTATAATTTTTAATGTGTTTTGATAGAAAATGAATACATAAGCAGCATGTGTCATGTTTTTATAATAAAAATATAAATTTATTCAACTTACGAAGTTAACTTTAACTAATTTAGTAACCATTTTTCTTCAAAAATTTTAGTTAGTGTTATCAATTAAATTAAATTGACATAAAATTTAAAACTTAAGATTAAAATTGAATTAATTAAAATAGCAATGACCAAAACAACATAATAGACAAAATACAGAAACTATTGAGGTAATTTGGCCAAGTCTTTAGGTGGGAGAGGGTTGTTTGCGTGGGTAAATAAAATTGGTCATTGAACCAAAACACTGTCCAAGTCTCCACCACCACCCCACTGAGAAAAACTCCAAGGCATCACGTGATGGCATTGGTCACAATCTTGGCCTAAAAAAGGGCTTCTGTCTGCCCATCCAAAGCACAAAAAAAGACGAAAGAAATAAAGAAAAGAAAGAGGGCCTGTCACCTTTCTCTATCCTTTTCATTGCTGTAAAAGGCCAAGACCCTAGATTGAGAAGGGTGTACCAACTGAACTTTTCAGGATGAAAAAAATAAAATTCTCAAATCATAGAACATCGATGATAAAATTAAACAAGAGGTTGACAATAACAAGGCATGTTGCCAATTAGTTCTAATTGACGTTTTGATGGCAAATGCTGTTGTGCAAAGAATTGTCAGAGCTAAAGACCCAGATTGTTTGGCCATTTTCAAGAGAATATTTTATGGGAAAAGACGATCGAATAATGGCATTCAATTTTCTATATGCACTTGTTGTTGCGCATTTGCTTCGAAAATGAGCGAAAACACTAAACAAAATGGCTTCATAGCCTTTGCTAGAAGTTTATACAAAACAAATATCCATCAAAATACTAACAGATTTAAGTCCATACAGCAAAAAAAAAATCCATCAACCATCGTTTAAGAGTATTTATACAAAACACTAACAAATTTAAGTCCTCAAAAAATTTAAAAAAAAATCTTAGTTTAGCTCCCAATATCACCCGCTCGATCTAGCAACTATTACCCACAGTAACACCTGCAAAAACAAATTATATTGTCGTTAAGGTTTGTTCACTTGAAATTTATGACTCAAATCATAACAAATTGAATTTTGATATATTGGTCATTACACACTCTTTTGTGATTTTGTTTTCGTAAATCATTTATTTTCATAATCAAGTTGTAAACATCATAATTAGGTATGACATCTAAATGTTGTAGCTAAAATCTATCTTGGCATATCAAGAAATTAGAATTAAGCAGCCACACATAAAAGATACCATAAAAGTAATCACCTAGACTACAGGGACAACTTACATTTTAAGCAAATCTCAAAAAGTGTATTTGTAATTTACCCACATATATATCAAATCAGTTACTGAAAATATATATATATATATCAAATCAGATACATGACCAAGGTACATCAAAGGATGACACTTCATATGTGTTACGGTTTTCTATGAATTGGGAATACCACATAGAATTACTCTTTTCAAGGTCCAGGCTCAAAATCTTTGTAGTGCAAACAATCTTTAGATCCATACATAGCATGATGAATACTCTTTTTCACTCAATAACACATCATTATATATATTTTCATTAAATAATTACACATGATTATTGAGTCAAGCTATGTTATATTCTCAATTAATTAAACTATAAACAAGTGTTTACTCAATTCAGTTCATTATGGAGATAGGGTGGTTGCTGTGCTGGTGGGCACAACAACCACTGTTGTACTGCCAGCAATCAAAGAATGTAACCTATTCAAATCCACAACCCAACACACACACACAAAAAAAAAAAAATCAAAAACGTTAAAATTAACATTAACATACACTACTAATCAAAAACATTAAAAAAGAAAAGAAAAAAGAAAAAAGAAATAAAGAAATAAATAAACCCTAAACAATTACGATAATTATGACAATGTTTATCTATTGCGACCATTCAATTACCTTGAAGTCCTGAGCAATTTCATGGACAAGCCTCTTGAATGGAAGCTTCAAGATCAGGAGCTCAATACTCTTTTGGTACCTACAAATTTCGCTACACATCAATTAATTAAGATAACAAAGAATCTAAAAAACACAAAAATTGTTATAAATATAATAACCATAATTCAAGCTTTAATTCAGTAAGTAGAGAAGAATTTACTTACCTAAAGAGGTGCCTTCCTAGTTGTAAGAAGGGCTACCAAAAGAATTTGCTTATTTAGAACAACAAAAACTAGTGAACTCAACACTATCATGAAGAGCCAAAGACAAAGGCATTAAATCTGCTTCAAAAAATATGAAATATAGTGGCTAAGGATTTGCAAACCATCATTTAAAAACCAATGTTGTGAAGCCACAATCTAACAAAAGCAAAGTTACTATTGAAGCAACACCATATATAACATTTTTTTTATTTGATATTTTGAGAGAAAAATCTAAAAAAATAGAAAAGTAACTACTAAAGCAACATTCCTAAACTTTAGTATTTTGTCGTTATTCATTACTAAAATATAGCAATAACCGTCTGTTTGCAATTGAATCATTAGAGATGCTGTTAGGTAATAGCAGGAACATTGCTTCAAGACAACAATTTAGAAGCCTTCAAGCTTCATAAACGTTGGAGTTTAAAAAAAACCTGCCTATTTGTCCACCATGAATGTAATCAGTACATTTATATTTTTTTAACAAATGCTCATCAAATATAACCAAACACCCTACATTCATATTTTAAGCTAAATCAGTACTTTTTTCTTCTTTTTTTTTTTTTTTTTGTATTTCATATTTTTTACAAATACATATATATATATTTTAACCAAACACCCTACATTAAAATTTTAACCAAACAACTTACATTTATATTTTAACCAAAAAGCTTACAAATATTTTAAGTTAAATCAGTACATTTATATTTGTTTCACAAATGCTCATCAAATATAAGAAATTTTCAACCTCTCACAACTTTACAATAATAGAATCAAGTCAGTAAAAAAAAAAAACTTACCAGAAACAGGATGAGATAGAGAGCCCAAACCAAAGGGAGAGAGCCAAAAGCAAAGATAGCATAGCAAAAAGCATATATATATATATAGTAAAGAGAAAGAAAAAGAAACTTACCAAATCGCCGAGCGGTGAGGCAATCTAAGAGGAGGGTAGGGCTAGCGGTGGCGCTGGCGGTGGCGGTGACGATCGACACCACTAGCGGCGATGGCGGCGATTGGCAACTCTAACAGCGGCAGAGGCAGAGGTGATCGGCAAGGTGAGAAGCAGCGAGTGGGAGACAGAGAGTTGAATGCGATGTTTTGGGGGTGTGAATAGTTAGGGATGTTTCGGCGATTAGATGAAACACCATTGTCCCATATTTAAACAAAATAAAAAGACCAAAACAAATTCACAACTCCATAGACCAAACTTTTTTTGTTGTTCTATCCCTCAAATACAATTCTTGTAAAAAAAAAAAAAGTAATTCAAAATTTTGAGTGTACAAGAACGATCCCAAATGAGGATTCTGGCTGTTGCTACTCAACATTGTGAGTGTACAAGAACGTTGACAAATAAATGAGGAATTCATAATTGCATAGCGCAATTAGAACTGCCCTCTAAAAACTAGAATCGTAAACTACTTTGTCAATATAGTTTATCCACCATAAGGGCATATGGTAAGTGGCCAATTTTGGGAAATCAAAAATAAAATTAAAGGAAAGATTTCAGCATTTCAGTTTCCTTCTTCCTTATTTTCACTGAACTTATTTTCTCAGTAACCAAGCATAGTACGTGCTTATAGATCTACTAATTACACGAAATAAGCAACAATTAGCTGTTATTTATCTTCTTCAAGCACAAATATATCACACACACACACACACACAACAAAAAAAACCAAATAGACTTGCAGTCTCCTTTTCTTTCCCTCATTGCATATTTTCTCAGCAACACAATGTCCCAAACACAACATAAAAAATAAAAAATAAAAAACGCCCAATTAGTACACATTAACATACTTATATGACTAACCTACAAAAACAGTGCTTCTATATCTTCCAATTAAGCTTATGATCAAGAAACATAAATACTGCTTATAAATCTACTAGCTAAGAATTAACTACAAAATAGAACTAGAGAAGGAAGACAGCAACATAATCAACAGCAAATGAATCCAACAGAATTCATGCCCATGCTTTTTTAGAATTTTATGACTCTAGCAGGACTTAATCCACAACAGAATTAAGGGATAGACAATCAAAATTGACACTATGCACTATTTCACCTGAAATCTAAATAGTTGCAACTTGTAATAGAAATATGGTGTGCCAGCAAAAATATAACATGGAAAATTGAAAGCATTTAGAGTTTATTCACTACTTAATGTTTGTGATAAATTAA